TAGTTTATTGTTTTAAAGCTACCTAAACTATTGCCATCTTTAGGAGAGCTACCTAAATATTTTTTTTCAAACTACCTAAGCTACTTATCTCCATCTTTAGGAGATCTACATAAATATTTTTTAAAAGCTACCTAAACTGTTACCATCTTTAGGAGATCTACATAAATATTTTTTAAAAGCTACCTAAGCTATTTAACTCCATCTTTAGGAGAGCTACCCAACGAACTTCCTCGAAGATTGTGACTGTGTTGACCCACTAGACTGGAAGAAACCTGCGGCCTTCTCTTTCCTCCTAAATTTCCGAGAACATGGTTACCAAGACGACTGGAAGTTTCCCGACAGCGCTTGTTCCCATGACGAGTGGCCTGCCCCTAATGTAAGTAGTCCTAGCTGTTAGCCAGAAATAAAAGGGTAATGATAACGCTATGTAAATATTTTCAAAAAACTTTCTACATTAAACTGTAAATATGCCAAAATTAAAATTGGAAACAAAAGCATCTATTAACGATATACATTTAATTTTTATTTCGATTTAATAGTGTTACAGATATATCTTAGAATACTTTATTATATTAATTTAATAAGTAACGATAAGATAAATTTGTAATAGTGTTACAAATATATCTTAGTATACTTTATTAAATTCCAATTGACGACAATATTTGTACACAGGGAGATTGTTTAGCTCTAAGCTGCCAGCCAGGGAAACAACTCCTCAACAAAACCTGCAGTACAATATTCCCTGAGATCACAGGCTTAGGATACAACTTACGGCTGTGGCTTTTACCAGTGGGGAACTCGAGTGGTCTACAGATGGTAGCGAATGAAGCTGTCTTAAAGGAAAAGGTTTGTATCAAGATTTGGTGAGTAAACGTTACATCTTACATTACTTATCAGAAAGGTCCGATATCGGACTTTTGCTACGGATTCGCTTGATAAATTTTCCTCTGAGTCTACTCAGTTTTAATAAATACCGGGTAATAGTAGGCTGTTAAAGCATATTAATCTAGAAAATAATTCAGTTGATGTATTTTTGAGCATACATCTTACCAGACTATCCCTTTACAAGCCGAGGTAACATAAATAGGTGAACTCTATTTCACCTGCTTCATGGGAATCCGAAAGTAATATTAACTTTCTTCTTTTAGGTTTCGGTGTCATTTTAAGTAGTCAACATTCGAGTAGTAGACAAATAAGACAGATTGTAATCAAATTGTGATTTTCCTATATAATGGTGTCTAGAAAATCTAGTTGGACATTGAATTAAGTAAACACTTGTGTAGTTTTTTTTTAATTATACTTAGAAAAAAATGTTTCAAGCTTACATTGATAATGACTAGGCCTATTTCAGCTGAAGCACAGACTCAGTGGCCTGTTTGAGGAGCTGTACATCCATCTTGGCGTGGTCAGACAGAACGACACAGAAGACATCAATGTTTTATCTCCCTATGTCGTCTGGTTAGACGCCAGAGTTATAGCTAACATGACTTTGCGCAGGGACGACTTCGAAACACAAATAGCCAAATTGTTGTTCAACAACACTATACAAATAGAGACAGCAAACACGTCTTATACATTAATGGCTTTAACAACTTTTGGTGATTTCAATCTGCAAGTGTATCTACAAAAAACGTTTTGTCGGGTTAACTGTAGTGAGCTTTCCGTTTACCAGTATAATTTTACAGTCAGGTCGGATATGCAAGAATTTATGACGTCATTTCTCAACATAACATCAGAGCCCGACTGTGCTTTGGTCGCCTTCCACCCCACGGACTACGACATAGACATTGTTTATACAACTCTCCCACCCAGCGTTACGGTCAGTGTTAATCTGAATGTTACACGACTCAACTTCACTCAGACTTCAGAGCTTAACATGATGGAAATAGACGAGGACAACAAACTAAAAATATGCTACAAGTTGTTGGACAGAAAACTTAGTGAAACTATTGGTACACGTTACCTTCAAGTAACCATCTCTCACAAGATACAGTACGTGCTGTCGTATCTGTGTCTTGGTGTGTCCATGCTGTGTTTGGCTGTGACTTTGATGACGTTTTTACTTTTCCAAGTCCTCAGGAACACAGTAGGCAAAAACAACATGTTTTTAAGTGGGAGTTTGTTATTGGCTCAAGTCTCGCTGTTTCTTAGCTCAACAAGGTACCAGATGGCAAAATCCTTTTCTCATTTTTAATACAAAACGTTTATCAGAATAGCGTATAAATATAAATGTTCTTGAATTATTATATTAGTTTTCTATTAGTTTTCTGCGTAATGAATAGACTTTATTTAAAAACATACAGCTTACTATATATCTATTACCATAAAGGTTAAATTTTTTTTAAATCTTCAAAAACAAGTTTTATTTCATTTTTTTTTAAATTTACCTTTTATTTGTATTTGTAATTACGTCTTTACATTATATAATGTTTAACACGTCAACTTTGTCTGCTAGTGTTGGATCAAGCGTCTTCTGTACCACCATTGGCGTGTTGACCCACTACCTCTGGCTGTGGATGTTCTCTTGGAGTTTTATTTGCAGTTTTCACATGTTTAAAGTTTTCGCTGCCAAAACCAGAAACTCCTACAGCAGTCTCAGGAAAGATAATCTACAATTAGTGATGAGAACAGCTCTGTCTTTTCTTGGGCCACTGGTTGTCGTTCTTGCGGTTATTGGCTGGTACACAGTCCGCACTGAAGGTGTTAGTGTGGGCTACGGTGACTCGAGATGTTACATCAACTCAACCGTCGTCGTCGGTAGGTTATGGTAGGCCTTTCATGTTACATCAATTCACCTTTTTTATGTTTGTACGTTATTATATGACTTAAAAATGTAACTTAAACAGTATTTTTGTTGGTAACTGAACCACGTCATTGACGATAAGAACATAGATATATCTTTTGTAATTACAATAAATACTGAACTCGATAAAACTTAATCATCCATAATATTCACGCTAGCTATATCAATGCAGCTGTCTTTTTTATTTCATCGCTGCACATCTAAACTAAATGTGAACTCGTTACTTGGATTTTTTTTAAGTACTTGCTATACAAATCTTTCTCCAAACTTCAGGACTAACCCTGATCATGCCTCTGTCTATCATCACGATGTGTAACATCACATTTTTCCTCATCACCGTGTGTAAAATCAACCACGTCATCAAGCTGCGGATGTCCGAGAACACCAAAACAGACAACCAAAATTTTCTGGTTTACGTCAAACTCTCCTCCATGACGGGGGCTTTCTGGGTCATCGCCATCTTGGCTGAGGCCGCTGATCTGGACGTTCTCAGGTTTGAGTCTAAAAAATCTCACTTACTTAACTTAATCCTCATCACTCCCTGTGGAGTATAGGGCAGCAACAAATCTCCGACATTCCACTATGTCCTGGGCGAGAAACTTTAGTTCATGCCAGGTCTTGCCAGTAGCCTGCACCTCTTCCATCCCTCTCCTCCGTGTTCTCAGGGGTCTTCCTTTCTTTCTCTTTTCAGGTGGGTTCCACTTCAGCGCCATGTTGGACTAATGCATTTAAAATCTATAACGGTCAATATTTAAAATTGCTTGGAAAAAAAGCCCAATTCGATTTTATTTGAGATATACGGATTCTTTATTAAGTTAATAAAATGAAAACACTTCACAATGAATAAAAACGAAAGTCTATCACATTCTTTCTTTAGAAAAATGATGTAAATGTAAAGCTTTGCATATTAATGTAAATAAAATGTAGCTAGCAAATTTTTTTCTACATTGATGTGATTCGCGAAACTTTTTGTAAAAATCACATTGTTGTACTTATCTGTGTAGCCTCATTAAATAAGAGACCGCGTTCTCATTAGAAATATAAAAATATTGTGAAGTGATGTGGTTAGACCATAGATGGTAAAAAATTTGTTACGTATAATTTCAGGACACCGCATTTACACGTAAAATATTCCTGTTGAACATCAGAAACATTTTACTTTCAGGTTTGTGTCAACTATTCTAAACGGACTTCAGGGTGTCTTGATATTCCTCTCCTTCACCTGCAACAGGAGGGTTTTGGTGTTGTACATGAACTACATCGGCCACCAACGGCCTTTAGAGCCGGGAGTGGACTCACAAACCGGAAGTAGTTTCGCTAAACCAACAACTAAGATGACCTAGGCTGTATAGCTACACCCACCCACAGATGTAGAGAAACAGCTAGCCATAAATTAAAGTTTACGGATATTTTACGTCGCATTTTTTTTTCTTTTTACTCAAATTGACATTTTGAAAACTGAATAAAATGTTGCAGTATTTTATTTTTTTAATTGCTGTGATAATTATAAAATACAGCAAAAACTACAGCAAAAACTAACGCAAAAATAGGACATCGATCCCAAAAAATAAAACACAGTGTCTGTGAAACATTTGATTCTCTAGTTATATTTTCTCAAAAAAAAAAAAAACAATGTGATTGACAATGTGCTTTTGAAATAATTGTTTCGGTGCCTTGGATAATTCTATTCATTGTATATGTACTGTATATATTTTTAGAGCACAATTTTCTGAACTCCAATCAATCGCATCTCTTTGTTTGATCCTTACCACAGTTAAAGGTCTTTAAAAGCTTTACTATTTTAATTAAATTAGTTTAAATAGATCCCTTTTGATGTTCCACTATTTGGTACTTGTATGTCCAGAAAAAAGGTATTACAATATGAAACTCTTGTTACTAATTTGTGTCAAGTAATCACCTGGGCTTACTTATCGGCCTCTCGAACATTCACCTTTTAAAAACTAACAAGTCTTATTTTACAAAATTCACTAGTGGAACAATTAGTGCAAGCATGAAAACTAGGAGAAGTGTGTTTGAGTTTTACTGAAGTTACTACTGAGAGCGGTTGGTGAAAATTGTACAAGATCAAATTTTAAATATAAATATACTCGCATTCATTTTGATAACCTTCAGTTACAAATTTAAAATGTTACATCAAGAAAAGGTCTTAACATTCGTCTTAAAAAAACAGATTTGATTATTGTTTTGTCAGCCTTTTCTTGACTTCCTCCACAAGAGAGCTGACCTTGAGTTTCCCCCTCTGGTTCACATCGATAGAATCAAAAAACAAAACACGATCTGGTGTCACGGCACCGTCTTTTCCTCTCTCAGAGACAAGCCTCTTCACGTCCTCTTCCGTCATGGAACTTCCGGGAACCAGGACCACGCATGCGCAGATAATCTGCTCGGTTTTCTCGCTGGTGACTGGTACAATGACAACGCTGTGTACACGAGGATCGTCCCTGATGTATTTCTCTATGTAGGCGGGGTAGACGGTGGAGCCTTTGTGCTGAATAACATGGTCGTACCTGCCTCACATAAAAAAAAGTATTATATAGGTACAATCAGAGGCGTGGCGAAGGCGGGCGGTGGTGCGGACCGTACTGGGTGACACCATTTAGGGGGTGACACCAATGCAAAAAATTGCAAAATGTTCAGAGGAAAATGCCTTTTTGCCAGTTCCTAATAACAGACTATGGATAAACATCGTTACAGTTAAGTCTGCAGTGATTAAAGCTTATTAGCATACATGAACGCATATGTGGCATATATTTGAATTATAGGCCGACACACACACACACACACACACACACATATATATATATATATATATATATATATATATATATATATATATATATATATATATATATATATATATATATATATACACTTAATTTCTTTGGGGAAGGGGTGATACCACGAAGTGCCGCACCGGGTGACACCCGACGTAGCGACGCCACTTGGTATAATAACGGCTAGCGCCTTAGAACAAGAGATAAAAGGCGTTAATCTGGAGAGTAAAATTAAGCATTCCGCATATTACCATGTTCGATGGAGTTATGGGCCATTATATTTCAACATTTTCTCATTAACAATTAGTTGGAGACGAAACTAAAATTTAGTAAGATGATTTGCATTGCTGTCACATTCAACATGTTAGTATTTAACGTATCAAGTTTCGATTCCTTGTGACTAAACCAAATTTATATAGCGACTCACGACCTCTCTATTGGCAAATAAACCCAAAGTTAGCGGGCTATTTGTTTGAATAATCAAAATATTTTAATTAAAATTTGTAACCGTAGAAATCCATTTTTAAATTTGAAACAATGCAGCTGAGTTACTTTAAGTATTTACGTGAATTAGCTTTGGTTGACCTAAAACATAAACATAACTTTTGATCCATTGTTTACCTTCAAGCGTAAACGTGTCCTAAACATTCTATACCTGTAACCATAAACGATTGACGTAATTTTGGCTCAATGTCTTCTTGACATGGCTTTAAATTCTAATGAGAAAACAAATCTTTAAAAAAATAACAAGTTCTGTTAATAAGCGTTGATTACATGTGTTAATTAGTGTATATTTATCTGACCTTTGAAGCACCATCAGTTGACCCTTCTCATCTAAATAACCGGCGTCACCACACACGAACCAACCGTCTGCTGTTATCACAGAGGTGTTGGCGTGAGGCTGGGCCATGTAACCAGAGAATTGGCCAGGTAGTTTAAACAACAGGCGACCTGAGGAAACAACAGGTAGTTTAAACAACAGGCGACCTGAGGAAACAACAGGTAGTTTAAACAACAGGCGACCTGAGGAAACAACCGGTAGTTTAAACAACAGGCGACCTGTAGAAACAACAGGTAGTTTAAACAACAGGCGACCTGAGGAAACAACAGGTAGATGAAACAACAGGTAGCTGAGATAACAGGTAGATGAAACAACAGGTAGATGAAACAACAGGTAGATGAAACAACAGGTAGATGAAACAACAGGTAGATGAAACAACAGGTAGATGAAACAACAGGTAGATAAAACAACAGGTAGATGAAACAACAGATAGATGAAACAACAGGTAGATGAAACAACAGGTAGATGAAACAACAGGTAGCTGAAACAACAGGTAGTATAAACAACAGGTAGTACAAACATCAGGTAGATGAAACAACAGGTAGATGAAACAACAGGTATTATAAACAACAGGTAGTATAAACAACAGGTAGTATAAACAACAGGTAGTATAAACAACAGGTAGCTGAAACAACAGGTAACTGAAACAACAGTTAGATAAAAACAACAGGTAGCTGAAACAACAGGTAGCTGAAACAACAGGTAGTATAAACAACAGGTAGTATATACAACAGGTAGATGAAACAACAGGTAGCTGAAACAACAGGTAGCTGAAACATCAGGTAGCTGTAACAACAGGTAGTATAAACATTAGTTAGTATAAACAACAGGTAGCTGAGACAACAGTCGGCCATGGGAAACAACAGGTAGCTGAAACAACAGTCGGCCATGGGAAACAACAGGTAGCTGAAACAACAGTCGGCCATGGGAAACAACAGGTAGCTGAAACAACAAGGTACATATGTATAAAAACTCGACGAGTTGATTCAAATTTCAGGCAACATGTTTATGACATTTGATGAAAGTTATGACTTTACTTTTAGGCTCAATGTCGCTTTTAGAAACAAATTACTATGTAAAAAAATTTAATTGGAGTCAGATTTTTTACAAAGTACAATCTTGGATGTTTGTTTGAATCGTTTGAAAGTAGATAACCTAGTGTTACATCGGTCATCTTATAAAAGATCTGATTACCTGGAGTACCTGGGGCCAATTCCTTCATGTCATCGTCCACAACCTTCACCTGGGTACCTGAAACACAAAGAGTCAGCGCCTAAATAAGCCGAACTTTTTACACACATTACCATTACCGATTGGTTCTCATGTAAAATGAAAGCGAAATCTTACCTTTACTAAACATGAAGTAAAATATCAAATTTAAACAAGACGCACCATGTAAAATGTCACCTTTACACAAGACACGCCAGGTAAAATCTCACCTTTACACTAGACACACTAGGTAAAATGTCACCTTTACACTAGACACGCCAGGTAAAATCTCACCTTTACACTAGACACACTAGGTAAAATCTCACCTTTACACTAGACACACTAGGTAAAATGTCACCTTTACACTAGACACACTAGGTAAAATGTCACCTTTACACTAGACACACTAGGTAAAATGTCACCTTTACACTAGACACACTAGCTAAAATGTCACCTTTACACTAGACACACTAGGTAAAATGTCACCTTTACACTAGACACACTAGGTAAAATGTCACCTTTACACTAGACACACTAGGTAAAATGTCACCTTTACACTAGACACACTAGGTAAAATGTCACCTTTACACTAGACACACTAGGTAAAATGTCACCTTTACACTAGACACACTAGGTAAAATGTCACCTTTACACTAGACACACTAGGTAAAATGTCACCTTTACACTAGACACACTAGGTAAAATGTCACCTTTACACTAGACACACTAGGTAAAATGTCACCTTTACACTAGACACACTAGCTAAAATGTCACCTTTACAGTAGACGCATCAGATAAAGTCTCACCTTTACACAAGACACCACAGTTAAAGTCCTCGTAGTCTGACAGTTGTGTCAGGACCCGGTAACTGACGGACACGGCCTCCGAACTTCCGTACCTGAACACAAGAAGGTCGGCGGCTTCAAAAAACATATCACAGAGTTTTTTGGTCAGGGGGTAGCCAGCTGGTGTAGAGAGGTTATATTTAATAGGTAGTCAACTGGGATAGAGAGATGCTATATTTAAAAGATAGCCATTTAAGTTAAAGGGGTTATTTTTAAAAGGAGTCTGAGATAATAGAAATGTATATAAGACAGAGGCGTACCGAGGGGGTGAGGGCGGGGGGATACATATGTCCTTGGGCGCCGACCTTAGGGGGCGCCAAAATGGGTTGGAAAAACAAGTTAAAATCTCATTTTAGCTGCAGTTTTGCATTATAAATATAAAAAATGTATTAGGGGGGGGTGCAAATGAAAACTTTGAGGGTGGGATGCAAATGGAAAGTTTGAGTGGGGGGGGGGTGCAAATTGAAAATTGAAAGGTTGTTCCCCAGGGGAGCGCCAAATTTAAAGTTTGTCCCGGGAAGGGTCGCTACGCCTCTGATATAAGATAGTCAGCTAGTGTACAAAAGTTATGTCCAAGCTATAACGAGCTAGAGTAGAAAAATACATTTTGAGTGTATTAAAAGCTGATTCTACTTCAACATCCATTTCTGTATTGTATTAGATTAAAAAACAATCAAGGTGAGTACCTATTAGAAGGACATCTAACGGTTTTCTAGCTACGTCTGTCCAGTGTTTCATGATGCCAGTGACGTCAGGAGGGGTGAAGAAGGCACATCGGACCCCGTCTGTCTTTAGTATATCCACTGATAACCTACAACACAGATATTGAGGTCATGTACACCATAGGTCATGTACATCATAGATCATGTACACCATAGGTCATGTACACCATAGGTCATGTACACCATAGGTCATGTACACCTTAGGTCATGTATATCATATGCCATGTACACCATAGGTCATGTACACCATAGGTCATGTACACCATAGGTCATGTACACCATAGGTCATGTACACCATAGGTCATGTACACCATAGGTCATGTACACCATAGGTCATGTACACATGACACACCGGACCCCGTCTGTCTTGAGTATATCTACTGATAACCTACAACACAGATACTGAGGTCATGTACACAATAGGTTTATAGGTAGGTCGTGTACACAACAGGTCATCTTTAGCAGTGGCGTAGCGAGGGGGCGGGGGGTGCGGGCCGATACCATTTACGGAGGTGACACCTAGACAAAAAATAGCAATATATTTACAGAAGATTGATAATTTCACGAAATTAAATGATTAATAAGAGTGAATTAAATAGTCTATTAAGTATGCTACAGTATGGTTCTTATTAATTAAAAAAAAACTGTGACATTTATTTTTTTATTTTTATCATTCATACTTTACTTTGAGGGGATTGGTACAGTAACTTCCCTTTGTTGACCTACCTGGCCAGGTCAGTCGGCGTGTGCCAGAGGTCAGGCTGGACACGGGTGTAGCCGTCCAAGATGTCCAGCAGGGAACCAACTATCCACGACCAGGGGCAGGTGATGTACAGCCTTTTGGTGGAGACAACGTCTCCAGGGACATAACCATCTGTAAACACATTGAACATGGGTTGTTTGCTCCTGGGCTTAATATTAGACGGTATGGTGTGTTTTAAATTTTAAAATTAAATAATTTTTAATTAAAATTAGTTTTTAAAAAATACATTATTAATGTAATAAAGAGTATCAAACAAAATATTCAATACAACACTTTATTCAATCCAGCCTTGCCTATGTGTATTTGTAGATCGATTTTTTTTTATTTTTACCTGAATTGATTTCTTCAATATAACTTCGGTGTGTACGCATGACAAGCTTGGGAATTCCTGTAGTACCGGAAGTAGAAAGTATTGTGGCCAGATCCGTTTCGGTGACTTCTGTATCCACATATGACTTTGGGTAAGACTTTAACATCTCTAAAAAGTTCGGCCCGTTTTCTGTGGTTAAAAACTCTTTGTTTCAACATACACTAATGTGATCGAATTGTTTTAACTTACAACAACTTGTAGCCACCTACCCGTGTCTGATACCTACCCTTCTCGGTCACCTACCCTTGTCGGGCACCTACCATGTCGGCCACATACCATGTCGGCCACCTACCATGTCGGCCACATACTATGTTGGCCACCTACCATGTCGGCCACATACTATGTCGGCCACCTAGCATGTCGGCCATCTACCTCTGTCGGCCACCTACCCGTGTCGGCCACCAACCCGTGTCGGCGACCTACCCCTGTCGGCCACCTACCCCTATCGGCCACCTACCCTTGTCGGCCACCTACTCCTGTCGGCCACCTACCATGTCGGCCACCTACCCCTGTCAGCCACCTACCCCTGTCGGCCACCTACCCTTGTCGGCCACCTAACATGTCGGCCACCTACCCGTGCTGTGTCTTGAGACAACAAACAACTTCTTCAGAGTCGGGGTTTCAGAACTGTTCACCTCTCCAACTAGTGACCCGAGCTCTAAACCTTGCGCGTGCTTCTCAACCTCTGACCAGGTAAGGTCACCACACTCACGACGAAGAATCAAAAACTCAGCCATACACCTGAGGGGAAACGATCCAACGATCAAGTCTTTGCGCTGGTCAATGGATGGGTCTTATATAAACAGATATCACTACATACAAAATCTAACCATAAAAACCACAAACTTCCCAACAATCACAAGTGTTATGATTGCGCAACACAAAATTAATTAGGAGCGAAAACATTACGTACGTGTTGATGACATGCTGGAAGAAATTGGCGCCATCTTCCGTGACCTCTACATTGACCACAACGCCCCCTGCCAGCAAGATGCCGATGTTGCAGACGACAAGTTCCAGACTTAACGAAAGTGAGCAGGCGACGACCTGACCGTGTCGTAGGCCTTGGTCGTGGAGAATGTGGGCAAACCTAGGGGGGTGTAGGTGGTTAGATGTGGTTAGATATGGTCAGATGTGGTTAGATGTGGTTAGATGTGGTTAGATGTGGTTAGATGTGGTTAGAAGTGGTAAGTTGTGAAAGGTGTGGTTAGATGTGACAGGTGTGACAGGTATTTTATGACATTTAAATATCTAATTTAATTTTCTCCTACAAAAACAATCTACCACCATCAGCCCACAGCATAACAACTCCATAACAACTCCCCACAAGACAAGTATGTATAGCTCCCAACAAGACTATGACAACTTACAATGACAACCACCTACTTACAAGCTAGCGTGTATAGCTCCCAACAAGACACTGCTTACACCAATGACAACCACTTACCTACACGCTAGCGTGTATAGCTCCCAACAAGACAATGCTTACACCAATGACAACCACTTACCTACACGCTAGCTTGTATAGCTCCCAACAAGACAATGCTTACACCAATGACAACCACTTACCTACAAGCTAGCGTGTATAGCTCCCAAGCACCGTATGACATCTTGTTCAACCCGTCATCATAGAAGACAAAGATCTCCCTAAGAGGGTCGTCTTGACATATCTGTTTGAACCTTTCGTTGAACGTCTTCTTCATCTTCACGCTACAGACATTCAACATTATACAACGCGACATCATCATCTCGCTACAGACATTCAACATTATACAACGCGACATCATCATCTCGCTACAGACATTCAACATTATACAACGCGACATCATCATCTCGCTACAGACATTCAACATTATACAACGCGACATCATCATCTCGCTACAGACATTCAACATTATACAACGCGACATCATCATCTCGCTACAGACATTCAACATTATACAACGCGACATCATCATCTCGCTACAGACATTCAACATTATACAACGCGACATCATCATCTCGCTACAGACATTCAACATTATACAACGCGACATCATCATCTCGCTACAGACATTCAACATTATACAACGCGACATCATCATCTCGCTACAGACATTCAACATTATACAACGCGACATCATCATCTCGCTACAGACATTCAACATTATACAACGCGACATCATCATCTCGCTACAGACATTCAACATTATATAACGCGTGTTCATCATCTCGCTACAGACATTCAACAATATATAACGCGTGTTCTTCATCTTCACGCTAAAGACATTCAACATTATCTAACGCATGTTCTTTATCTTCACGCTACAGACATTCAAACTTATACAACAAATCTTGAAATTTAAAGGGAAGTAATCAATAAAATTATGTTTGATTTATACCTGTGGAGTGGTTTCCCATTTAAATTGAAACGCCATAGGTTGTTATAATTGTTATTTTTTTTTTAAATAATAATAATTAAATGACTTCACAACTTAAAAGTTGTGTTTTAAACTTATGCGAACAATGATCTCAGTAGAATGTGGACAGTAAAAAAAATCTGAATAATTGTTATACATAACCTACAACAAGTACTACCTAGCTATAATTGTGTATTTATCCTGTGTCCCACATTGCTTTTGACATTTAATAGGATTATTTCAAATGTCAGAAAAGTAACTAACTTTCATATATATTCATTTTCAAAAATCGTATAAACACAATATATATTTATCAAAAAGTATATGAAAAAATACTGAAAAAATTATCAAGCTAAAAATATCCTAAGACCCCGAACTTACCGTGTCAAAGAAGAGCAGTAAATAACTATAACAGCATGTTTTTTATAAATGTAGGTAATGTATTCGCGTTCATTGGCCAAAACAAATTTGTAAAGTCATCTAGTCCGCTATTTAACCTCCTCGTGTCAAAAACCTGGTAACTCGAGTCACTTTCTCTCACCAGGTCACTAAGATATTTTATCTATAGCTCCATTAAAGTTGCGATGCTAATACCGAGTACTTTTGTTCGGCTAGTATTAGATTGCTTTTAGTGACAAAAACTGCGACAATTTTGTAAAAACATAAACGCGATTTGTCTTTAAAAATAAAACTAAAGGAAAAAAAATTATCAACTAACATACAATCCCACATGATTTTAAATTAAAATATTAATAACAAAAAACATCCTGAGAATAGTCGATGGTTAAAACATGTTTGCGTTGTATTTTATCACAGTGTCGTAGTAAGCCACAATAACAGCTAACGACAGGAGGTCGACGTGGTCGGGTCGGTTAAGCTCATGGGTGCTGAACCGAACTGTCTCGAGTTCGGGGTAGATGAGGCTCTATAGCTGGGGACAACAACTCATCATAATCAAACAACTGCTACCTAGTAGTTTTTAATTGCGTTGGGGGGGGGGGAGACCACTAGAATATAGAAAGAAGAAGAAAATACTATGGTATGTTTTAATCAAGGTATATTTAATTAAACAAGGACAAAACGAGACTAACTTGAGAAAGACGACTTGGTTTTGAGAATTAGTGAATCACCGACGAAGACGACTTGCCGCAACATATCCCGCTTCTCTATACACCACTAGACCCTGGCTGTTACACGCCTCTCTATACAACACTAGACCCTGCCTGTTACCCGCCCCTCTATACAACACTAGACCCTGGCTGTTACCCTCCACTCTATACAACACTAGATCCTGGCTGTTACCCGCCTCTCTATACACCACTAGACCCTGGCTGTTACACGCCTCTCTATACACCACTAGACCCTGCCTGTTACCCGCCTCTCTATACACCACTAGACCCTGGCTGTTACCCGCCTCTCTATACACCACTAGACCCTGGCTGTTACCCTCCACTCTATACACCACTAGACCCTGGCTGTTACCCGCCTCTCTATACAACACTAGACCCTGCCTGTTACCCTCCACTCTATACACCACTAGACCCTGGCTGTTACCCTCCACTCTATACAACACTAGACCCTGGCTGTTACCCGCCTCTCTATACAACACTAGACCCTGGCTGTTACCCGCCTCTCTATACAACACTAGACCCTGCCTGTTACCCTCCACTCTATACAACACTAGACCCTGCCTGTTACCCGCCTCTCTATACACCACTAGACCCTGGCTGTTACCCTCCACTCTATACACCACTAGACCCTGGCTGTTACCCGCCACTCTATACACCACTAGACCCTGGCTGTTACCCTCCTCTATACACCACTAGACCCTGGCTGTTACCCGCCTCTCTATACACCACTATACCCTGGCTGTTACCCGCCTCTCTATACACCACTATACCCTGGCTGTTGCCACATCATACCCCCGTCGCTGTGTACAACACTGGACCCTGGCTTTAACAGGTCTCTGTTGGTGTAGTAGAGCCGGTAACAGATGGCGCCGGTGACGATAGGCTCACAGTGCTTTCTCTCGTTGACGTTGTACTTCTTGAACCCGTGGTCCGTCATCATGGAGAGCAGCTTCAGCTTGGTCGGCAACAGCACCCCGTCTGGGTTCATCAGGTGAATCTCCATCCCGATCTGGCTCACCTGCGACAGGTGGTTGTTGGCGATCAGGTGAGGCAGGACGGTCCAGGTGGCGTTCTTCAGGTCGAAGTTGACCATCTGGATGTGGGACACGTTGTGGTCCAGCAACTCGACCAGGTCGCTCCAGGGCAGGTAAACTCGGCCGTCTCGAACGGCGCGAGTTTCAGCGATGCCGAGTTGGTAGAGGGTCACTTTGTTGGACCTGGTGGGAGAAGACATGGGTCACGTGACAATGGGAAGGGTTGGTTTTGTTTTCTCTTTGTAACAACAGGGCATACATGTTTAGTGTCTGCAGGATGTTATTTTCAGTGGAGGACATTTTGTTATTTACAAGTAGGGTGGGCTATCTGTTATTTACGTCTAGGGGAGGGCAATCTATTATTTACGGCTAGGGGAGGGCATTCTGTTATTTATCAGTAGGGAGGAAATTTTTCTTTGACGAGTAAGGGGGTCATTCTGTTTTTTACGACTAGGGGAGGGCATTCAGTTCTTTATGACTAGGGGAGGGCATTCTGTTATTTACGACTAACATTCTGGTATAATCAACTAGGTGAGACTATTCTGTTAATCGCAACAAAGGCAGGGTATTATGTTTTTTATAAACAATATTCTGTCGTTCACAACCAAGAAAAATATTCAAGAAAATATTCAGCGACTCTCGACCAAGGAAAATATTCTGTAATTGACGACAGGCGAAATATGTAATCCACGATCACGGGGCGACTTTTTTTTATTGACAGTTTGAAAACATGCTGTCATTCTCAACCAGTGGAAGGCACTCTACTATTTACTAGATCCAGGTAAAACTTCGCTAGAATACATTTTTTAAGCTCTTAAAACTTGACGCTAAATTAATTATCTATTATAAAATATTGTAATATCTAATAAACGATGTATATCACTTAGTTTGGTTGTTTTAAAGTATATATTCCCTATTTATAATTAACACTTTACTCCTTTTTAATACAATCCTTGACCCTGGATTTTTTTATTTGCACTCTGACCTTTTAACCCGGATGGAGTCCACCTTGTCGGGGTCAAACACATGAACTTGACATTTGTACATCTTAGAGACCCGCTCTTCAAACACGAAGTCAACACTAGCGCCGAATTGGTACACAATGCACGGCTGTTTGAACGCCACCAATTTGTCCCTACACACCTCCCACAAGTCCGACACGTGACCTATCATAAGCATCTTCCAGCAGTAGGTCTGTGGGGAGGGGGGGGGGTTGTGTAGGTTAAACTATAGGTCTATGGTAAGTGGTAAATGTCAATAAAACTATTGGTCTATGGTAAGTGGAAAATGTCAATAAAACTATTGGTCTATGGTAAGTGGAAAATGTAAATAAAACTATAGGTCTATGGTAAGTGGGAAATGTCAATAAAAATATAGCTGTATGGTAAGTGGGTAATGTAAATAAAAATATAGGTCTATGGTAAGTGGTAAATGTCAATAAAAATATAGGTCTATGGTCAGTGGGAAATGTCAATAAAAAATATAGGTCTATGGTCAGTGGAAAATGTCAATAAAACTATTGGTCTATGGTAAGTGGAAAATGTCAATAAAACTATTGGTCTATGGTAAGTGGAAAATGTAAATAAAACTATTGGTCTATGGTCAGTGGGAAATGTCAATAAAAAATATAGGTCTATGGTCAGTGGAAAATGTCAATAAAAATATAGGTCTATGGTCAGTGGGAAATGTAAATAAAAATATAGGTCTATGGTCAGTGGGAAATGTCAATAAAAATATAGCTGTATGGTAAGTGGGTAATGTAAATAAAACTATAGGTCTATGGTCAGTGGGAAATATAGATAAAACAAGTTGTCAAAGGGAAACAATCAACAGGTTAAACAAGAGACCGACCATGGAAAACCTGGAGACGTGACCTGGAGACGTGACCTGGAAGAAGACACCAATAAGATTGGATACACCTGGGGACGTGACCTGGAAAAAGACACCAATAAGATTGGATACACCTGGAGACGTGACCTGGAAGAAGACACCAATAAGATTGGATACACCTGGAGACGTGACCTGGAAGAAGACACCAATAAGATTGGATACACCTGGGGACGTGACATGGAAGAAGACACCAATAAGATTGGATACACCTGGGGACGTGACCTGGAAGAAGACACCAAGAAGATTGGATACACCTGGAGCCGTGACCTGGAAGAAGACACCAATAAGATTGGATACACCTGGAGACGTGACCTGGAAGAAGACACCAATAAGATTGGATACACCTGGAGACGTGACCTGGAAGAAGACACTAATTAGATTGGATACACCTGGAGACGTGACCTGGAAGAAGACACCAATAAGATTGGATACACCTGGAGACGTGACCTGGATGAAAACACCAATAAGATTGGATACACCTGGAGACGTGACCTGGAAGAAGACACCAATAAGATTGGATACACCTGGAGACGTGACCTGGATGAAAACACCAATAAGATTGGATACACCTGGAGACGTGACCTGGATGAAAACACCAATAAGATTGGATACACCTGGAGACGTGACCTGGAAGAAGACACCAATAAGATTGGATACACCTGGAGACGTGACCTGGAAGAAGACACCAATAAGATTGGATACACCTGGGGACGTGACCTGGAAGAAGACACCAATAAGATTGGATACACCTGGAGACGTGACCTGGAAGAAGACACCAATAAGATTGGATACACCTGGAGACGTGACCTGGAAGAAGACACCAATAAGATTGGATACACCTGGGGACGTGACATGGAAGAAGACACCAATAAGATTGGATACACCTGGAGACATGACCTGGAAGAAGACACCAAAAAGATTGGATATACCTGGGGACAGTTGGCGAGACTAGCCCAGGACAGAGATGCCTTGAATTCTCTTGTCAGCAGCCTATGCCCCAGGAGGGGCGAGAGGCTAACCTAACCTTACGTATTGGTAGAGAGGATATGTAAACTATGCTATATGTCTATGGTAAATGGAAGGTGGAATATGGGCCGTCGTGGCCCAGCGGCTAGACTGCTAACCTGAAAGTCTGGTGTTCGAATCCGGATTCAAGTCAGTAGATGTCCCTGAGTTCACTCAGGTCTGATGGATACCCAACTCACATAAGGAAAACTAAAAGCGAGCATAAAAAGCCAGGATATAAAACCCCTAGGACATAAAACCCCAGGACGTAAAACCCCAGGATATATAAACGAAGAACATACACGGTGAATTTAGACCTAACACGTCCGTCGACTTGATGAATTTAGACCTAACACGTCCGTCGACTTGATGAATTTAAACCTAACTTACGTCCGTCGACGAAGAATTTAGACCTAACACGTCCGTCGACTTGATGAATTTAGACCTAACACGTCCGTCGACTTGATGAATTTAAACCTAACTTACGTCCGTCGACGAAGAATTTAGACCTAACACGTCCGTCGACTTGATGAATTTAGACCTACGTCCATCGACTTGATGAATTTAGATCTAACTTACATCTGTCGACTTAATGAATTTAGACCTAACTCACGTCCGTCGACTTGATGAATTTAGACCTAACTTACGTCTGTCGACTTGATGAATTTAGACACAGTTTCAGTGAAGACTTCTTCTTGGTTTAACATTTTCGTCGCTTTCTTTCGCTTCTTCTTCGTTCTTCGCCTAAAGACTTATGATTGGAGGAAAGAAGATAGTTGCTCGTTTGTTGAAAAATAAAGATTTATTTACATTAATCAAAAAAGTACTTTTACAAAACGAAGTAGGCCTATCGTGTTTGTTTGTATTCATTTTCTACCTAACCTGTAATGAAAGAGTCTCTACCAATTTTTCCGACCCCTCCCGATCCGTATTTATCGCACACACTCGAAAAATGTATTTAGCATAGACCTCATTAAGCTTTTAATTAAACCAGATTAGCTCCATAATCTATTTAAAAATAAATTAGGATGAAGGTTCGACTTCGGTTAATTAATGATAAAGACAGCGAGTGGCTAAAGGCTAAACATTTCATAAGATTAGCGGCTAAATAACGATATTTTAACTTGAGTCTTAGCCATAGCTCAAGCTTTATTTTTCGTTCAATGATTTACTTGGTGGCCAAGTTTGATCTATAAGATTCAATGATGGCCAATATTGATCAATTAGACTTAATGATGGCCAGTATTGATCTATTAGACTTAATGATGTCCACTATAGATCTATTAGACTTATTGATGGCCAATATTGATCTATTAGACTTAATGATGGCCAATATTGATCTATTAGACTTAATGATGGCCAATATTGATCTATTAGACTCAATGATGTCCACTATAGATCTATTAGACTTATTGATGACGATGTATGACGTCACCTCTCACCTGTTGTCGTGATCTCCTCCACGTCACCTGGCTTGTGCAACTCTTTCGCGATATCATTCGCGCGTCGCTTGAGCATCTCCATCATCATCCGGACGTTGCTTCTCCTGTCCGGGTACCGGGAGAGGTCCTTGATCCCGTCAGCCACCCCGAAATCGTTCTCCACCTCCCAGCGGCTTTTCTGCGTCGGGTCGAAATCCCGGGATGACCTTTGTTTGTGCCAGTAGCTGTCCCACTCTCTGCGAGGCTCGGGCTTTCTCCGTGGGCGGAGGAAGAATACTAGCAGCATACCCGTGCAGATGAAGAATATAAGACACTGGTACCTGGGACCTACGGTTGAAAAAAAAAATCGATAAATGTAATTCTCTTCATGGAGGGACCATGCGAGACACCACCGCCACGTATGCTCAGCAGGCTATATAGCTACCACCCCCACCCCTCACGAGTCTGATGAGCTTTGGTTCAGGCCGAATGTTTACAATCGTAGAGCCCGGTCGAATAAGTGACGGCTATTAAGGGCAGATAATTTAGTATTTAAACGATTTGAAATTAAGGGGAGGTAACAATTTCTGCTTGATCTTTTCATTGTCGTCTGTTACCTGTCTTCACAGACGGCTGCTTTCACGCGAGGGTGGGGGGGGGGGGGCAGGGGGGGGGGGGGGGGTGGTAGGGTACAATTTACAAATTATGAATTACTGAAAAACAGAAAATAAAACAACTAAATAGCGGCGTATGCTACGCCGCGGGTCGGCTCGTGGAATTTATTTTTAAAAATTCAAATAATAACTTTTAACAATGGAACTAACAAGACATGCCCTTATACGAACCACTGGTGCGAAAAATAGACAAGAGTTTAGTGTTGTGGAGAAGGCAGCGTTACCGACTACTTTTGGCGCACCCACAAGTAAGCGCCCCCCCCCCCCCTCCACTTCCAAACTCTCTCCCAACAATCTTCATCATAATTAGAATCTTTAATTAACTTAAGTCACTTTGTCCGTCTGTCGAATTTCGTAACTCAATATAACACAGTTTTAATACAGCGATTTATTATTTACAATTTAATTAAATGCTAAATTAATCATGAAAATTAATTTGAAGATAAATATATTCAATAACAAAAAAGGAGAATACAGTATTAAATTCCCTATTCAGACTTAATGATTTATAGGGCACACGAATTTGATTTCGTTGGTTAGGTTACTTGACCTCAGTACATCAAAGGGGGATAATCAGCACTATGCCCAGTTACCTTAACGTTGTTTAGGTACCCATTACAGCTGGGTTGGCCCTACAGTCTCGAGTCCCGACCTATATCGGAACGCGAGACCTTGAGGCTGGTAGTCTGGTGCTCTACAATTTGACCACCCTGCTCTATAATCTAGTATTAAGTACTGATGAAACTTTCATTATTCAGTTAAGCTTAGCATCAATCAGATTGAATTAGAAAGTTCCTGTTCTGTTGATTGTGAACTGTGGTCACACAACCACCCAGGTGTAGCAAGGCCTTACGGAATCGAGCTAACTGATCAATCACAACATAAAGACTAGAAAAAAAAATCTAGCACATGATAGATTTAATTTAACAATGAATTGAATTTATCGGGAGAGGTGTTAAAAGTAATCTTTAGATGTATAATTAGAATAATCTCTAAAAATTTTAAAATAAAAGAGTCTTTACTTATGCATTGCATGATATGTTTGACTTTTTGTAGGATTATACGCGCCATTTTGAAAAATGACGTATATCTCTACTTCCGTTCAACACAAAGTGTGCCGAAGTTAAATTTAGAATTGAATCTATTTATTTATTTTTCAAATTTCCGATGACAATCTGCAACAGTGTTTTATAATGTCTTGTGTTTGAATGTTTTCACAGTTTGGAGTTATTTTTAGGTGGTTTTGTTTGATTTGTTGTTATGTTTCTGATATTTTTCGAGTGATAATTAATTGCCTTTCTAATATGAAATGCTTTAAAATTAAATTTAAAACATGCATGTATACTTTTTTTCAGATAAAAATGAGTAGGCTAGTATCAGTAGTTGGTTGAATCTGGTTATAGACAACCATTTTGACTTAACATTGCATGCTGTATTTTCGTTATATAGGTTTTTTTAAGCCCTGCCGTTCTTTAAGATATTTTTCACGGGGTGGGGGGGGGGGGACACTTGAAACTTTCTAGGAGGGGAGGGGAGGACAGTTTGCGCGAGACAGACACTTATTTTAAAGTATAAATTTTCTATGCTATTTATAAATTATTTATTTTTCTAGTTTGGTTCTGAGCGGAGGAAGCGGTGGAAAAAGAGATACATGAAAGAAACTCTTGTTGAATCTGAGTTTTAATTATAGGTTACCTGAGATTTAGTTAGAGGTTACTTGAGTTTTAGTTAGAGGTTACCTGAGATTTAGTTAGAGGTTGAGTTTTAGTTAGAGGTTACCTGAGTTTTAGTTTGTACTTAACTGAAATTTAAGATTGTAAAGTAAAGTTCCCTTTTCAAACCTGTCGGTCTATGGGGCAGCTGAAATAGAGTTCACTTGTTTCTGTGATTACGGCATATGAAGAGATAGTGTGGTCAGCACTATGCCCAGCCGCTTTACTTTCCCTAACGTGAGTTAGGTACCCAGTCCAACTCACTACCGCTAGACCACTCCGTCGAATTTTAGATTGAGCTTACCTGAATTTTAGATTGAGGTTGCCTGAGTTTTAGTTAGTTTTTGTTATAGGTTATCTGAGTTTTAGTTAGTTGTTACCTGAGTTGTTTTAGTTATATGTTACCTGAGTTTTAGTTAAAGGTTATCCGAGTTTTAGTTATAGGTTACCTGAGTTTTAGTTTTAGTTATAGGTTACCTGAGGTTTAGTTAGTTGTTACCTGCTTTTTAGTTATAGGTTACCTGAGGTTTAGTTAGTTGTTACCTGATTTTTAGTTATAGGTTACCTGAGTTTTAGTTAGAGATTACCTGAGTTTTAGTTTCTTATCTGCGTACCACCCCTCCACTCTCACACACCCACTCTCACATACCCACTCTCACACCACCCACTCTTACACCACCCACTCTTACACCACCCACTCTCACACCACCCACTCTCACACCACCCACTCTCACACCACCCACTCTCACACCACCCACTCTCACACGCCCACTCTCACACGCCCACTCTCACACGCCCACTCTCACACCACCCACTCTTACACACCCACTCTCACACGCCCACTCTCACACCACCCCCTCTTACAAACCCACTCTTACACACCCACTCTCACACACCCACTCTCACACCACCCACTCTCACACCACCCACTCTCACACCACCCACTCTCACACCACCCACTCCCACACGCCCACTCTCACACGCCCACTCTCACACCACCCACTCTCACACCACCCACTCTCACACCACCCACTCTCACACCACCCACTCCCACACGCCCACTCTCACACGCCCACTCTCACACCACCCACTCCCACACGCCCACTCTCACACGCCCACTCTCACACCACCCACTCTCACACACCCACTCTTACACACCCACTCTTACACACCCACTCTCACACACCCACTCTTACACACCCACTCTCACACCACCCACTCTCACCAAACCCACTCTCACACCACCCAATCTTACACACCCACTCTCACACCACCCACTCTCACACGCCCACTCTCACACACCCACTCCCACACACCCACTCTCACACCACCCACTCTTACACACCCACTCTCACACCACCCAATCTTACACACCCACTCTCACACCACCCACTCTCACACGCCCACTCTCACACACCCACTCCCACACGCCCACTCTCACACCACCCACTCTTACACACCCACTCTCACACCACCCAATCTTACACACCCACTCTCACACCACCCACTCTCACACACCAACTCTCACACACCCACTCTCACACCACCCACTCTCACACCACCCACTCTTACACCACCCACTCTCACACCACCCACTCTCACACCACCCACTCTTACACACCCACTCTCACACCACCCACTCTTACACACCCACTCTCACACCACCCACTCTTACACACCAACTCTCACACCACCCACTCTCACACCACCCACTCTCACACCACCCACTCTCACACCACCCACTCTTACACACCCACTCTCACACCACCCACTCTTACACACCCACTCTCACACCACCCACTCTTACACACCCACTCTTACACACCCACTCTCACACCACCCACTCTCACACCACCCACTCTCACACCACCCACTCTCACACCACCCACTCTTACACACCCACTCTCACACGCCCACTCTCACACCACCCACTCTCACACGCCCACTCTCACACGCCCACTCTCACACCACCCACTCTTACACACCCACTCTCACACGCCCACTCTCACACCACCCACTCTTACACACCCACTCTCACACACCCACTCTCACACACCCACTCTCACACCACCCACTCTCACACCACCCACTCTTACACACCCACTCTCACACACCCACTCTCACACACCCACTCTCACCAAACCAACTCTCACACACCCACTCTCACACCACCCACTCTCACACACCCACTCTCACACCACCCACTCTCACACCACCCACTCTCACACCACCCACTCTTACACCACCCACTCTCACACCACCCACTCTCACACCACCCACTCTTACACACCAACTCTCACACCACCCACTCTCACACGCCCACTCTCACACACCCACTCTCACACACCCACTCTCACACCACCCACTCTCACACCACCCACTCTCACACACCCACTCTCACACGCCTACTCTCACACACCCACTCTCACACCACCCACTCTCACACCACCCACTCTCACACACCCACTCTCACACACCCACTCTCACCACACCCACTCTCACACACCCACTCTCACCACACCCACTCTCACTACATCCACTCTCACACACCCACTCTCACTACACCCACTCTCACACACCCACTCTCACCACACCCACTCTCACTACATCCACTCTCACACACCCACTCTCACTACACCCACTCTAACCACCCCCACTCTAACCACCCCCACTTTAACCACACCCCCTCTCACCACACCCACTCTAAACACACCCACTCTAACCACACCCACTCTAACCACACCCACTCTCACCACACCCACTCCTCCACCTATCACCTCCACCAGCGCCCTAACCTCCCCAACAAGAAACTACCGCAGGGATGTACATAAACGTGTCACCATTTACAATTTTGCATGGTTGAGTGGTGTTCCTTTATGCATGACCCCCAGTAGAAAAAAATATCCCGAAGGGGGTGTGAAGTTACAATTATAATTCGTAGACCAACACAACGTGTGTGTCAAGTTGAGAATGGGGTCATGGAAGAAGAAAACAACTCTTGCTCTAGTAGCGTACTTACACATTAGGATTTTTCACTCTATAGATGTTAAGCGTAAAATTTGGTTTCTTCGGCCTGAGATGAGTTAATCAGGTAAGGTATTGTTTATTTGCTCTTTGGTTACATACATAGATATTTTTGCCTGTTGGATAAAAATATCTCGGGGTGAAAGGTCAGGGGGACACATGGCACAGAACTTTGGTCCAATATTGGTCCGTAGAAAAGTGTGTTGTTGAGATCGACTGTCTGACAATGGAAATAACTAAGCTGTCTTTGTAAAATTATGAAAACAAGACAGCTGTTTACTTAGCCTTATAAAAACAAGAGAGCTGTTTTCGTAACTTTATGACAACAGATAGTTGTTTACGTAACTTTATAAAGATCCATTCGATTGGCTGCAGAAGACAGCGGTCCTAGAATCGTAATATGTGCATGATTTATTTTTTCATATAAATAGAAGTAGTTAAAAATTCATGACACATATTTAATTAGTATGTTGGATTTAGTCTGAAAAATGATAAAAAATAGTTAGTAACAGTACTCTGGTCAGTATATTGTTGTACAATTGGTCAGTAGGTTGTACAATTGGTCAGTAGGTTGTACACTTGGCAGTAGGTTGTACAATTGGTCAGTAGGTTGTACAATTGGTCAGTAGGTTGTACAATTGGTCAGTAGAGTGTACACTTGGCAGTAGGTTGTACAATTGGTCAGTAGAGTGTACACTTGGCAGTAGGTTGTACAATTGGTCAGTAGGTTGTACAATTGGTCAGTAGGTTGTACAATTGGTCAGTAGAGTGTACACTTGGCAGTAGGTTGTACAATTGGTCAGTAGGTTGTACATTTGGTCAGTAGGTTGTACAATTGGTCAGTAGGTTGTACAATTAGTCAGTAGAGTGTACACTTGGCAGTAGGTTGTACAATTGGTCAGTAGGTTGTACAATTGGTCAGTAGGTTGTACAATTGGTCAGTAGGTTGTACAATTGGTCAGTAGGTTGTACAATTGGTCAGTAGGTTGTACAATCGGTCAGTAGGTTGTACAATCGGTCAGTAGGTTGTACAATTGGTCAGTAGGTTGTACAATTGGTCAGTGGATGGTACAATTGGTCAGTAGAGTGTACACTTAGTCAGTGGATGGTACAATTGGTCAGTGGATGGTGTAATTGGTCAGTAGAGTGTACACTTAGTCAGTGGATGGTACAATTGGTCAGTAGAGTGTACACTTAATCATTAGATTATAAACTTGGTAAGTAAATTTTACTATGGTCCGTAAATTTTACTCTATCAAGAGATTGTACAATTGTACACTTCGTTATGTTTTGCTATGAAATACGAGTAAAATATGAGATTTAAGGAACTTTGGACAAAAGGCTGGAAAAGCTGGTTCCAAATGG